AATTGGCACGAACGAACATCGATATGGCCAGATGGAGTCTTAATGCAAGGCAAGTACTACGTGATGAGGCATTCTCCACTCTAAGGTAAGACGCGCATCCCAAGTGAATCTAATTCAGATCAATGATCTACTCAATATGTCAATTCTACCACGCACATGCTAGGATTTCATCTGGTCAGTGGCTTCAGGTGCAATGTATATACACATACGTGTATAAAGACCAATAGGCTGTTGGGTTTCCTGCGCTAAATCTGGGATGTTGCCATCAAGGCCTGAACGCCACAACATAAAAGACACTCGTTCTAGCGAGACTGGATCACTGCTTATACCCCAGTCACACCAGGGCCCCGATCTCACTACGCTCGTACTACGCGCTCTAAGAGCGTGGTGAAACGTGTAGAACGCAGTGTGTGACGTATATAGACGTTCCTGCGATCGTGATCGAGTCGCGTTGCAGTCAGCATGAGCGTGGAGAGCGTGGCCCAACTTTGACATGTTCAAAATAATCGGTGGCGAGCGTGGCGGAAATACATGCGCTAGTGCGGGCGTATTAGAGACGTGGAAGTGCCGTAAGTACCACGTAACCTCGAGCGTAGTACGAACTTAATGGTCGTATGCCAAAGCGTGTCGGGCCGCGTGAAAATTGTCGCCACCGTTTCTCATAGCACGATGTCAATACGTTTTCCATGCAACGCTGTTACTACGCATGAGATGTCTCTGCGACGCCTGAACGCACGCCTCTGCTGCTATGACCATGGTGCGTCTCTAACAAATCGACCGCGTTTCGTACTACGATTGTACTACGCCAACACGCTCAAGACCTACCCGTTGTGCGTTCGCAATTACGTGTTAGTTACGTCTCAGATCACGTCCTGCAAACTGGGGTATAATTTGGGTGCTACCGTGGCCACCCCACCAGTTCAGTGTCCAACGTATGGATGAGGCAACACTACTTCTATGCTATGTTTCTCCGTAGAAGGGGAGGACAACTCGAACTACTTGATTGCCAATCCCTCGCGATCATGGCCTGAGGAGATGAGGAGGAGAAATAGAAGACAACAAAGAATCTTAGGCTGGCTCTCCAGCTTGTCCTTTTGGCGGCATATGTTGTGTCGTAGAAAATTAATCTTGATGTTAATTATGATTTAAGTGATAATGTTGATCTTAGTTATCTTGATGTTAATCTTGAAGCACGGGCAGAATGAATGATGATGTCATAAGAACGCGGCGCGGTATTTATATATCGTTTGCCAGCCGGCAAGTCGCCGCGTGATTGCGCGTAGTTGAGGCGCGTTGAGCGTTGCTAAGGCGCAGTTGCAAGCGCGTTCGAACGCAACACGATCTGATTGGTCGCAATAAAGACGCCGTCCGCGCAGTGCAAGCGTGATGCGGGCGTGGTGTTGAGCGTGGTGAAAGCTT